ATATTTGTTCATTGTTAGCAGAAGCTGCTTTCACTAACTTCAGTTCATGACCTTTGTTTTACCTCTGACTTGCATATTGATATGTCATTGTTTTATGTTTCTTGGTAAAAATTCAAATGTTCAGTTACTTTATGAAGCTCCTTCGGGTAATTTTTGTGTTAATTTAGCCTTAAAAATTCAAATGTTCAGTTACTTTATGAAGCTCCTTCGGGTAATTTTTGTGTTAATTTAGCCTTAACGTAAAAATCAGTATTATGTTATAAGTAAAACAATTGTACTTTAATCTGAGGAAAATTGGCCTGTTCCAGAAAATGTGTCACTTAAGCTGTCCTACTTTAATAGTTCAAATAAGGTAACACACACACACACACAATATTTTTACCCACTCTTGTTCTTTCCTGTTGCATATATATATTTTGGCATGAAAAAAACCACTTTATGGGGTACAATAAAGTATTGGATTGGATATAAACCATGCAAATTAACATCATCTAGTTTTTTCCAAGTTGTGTATGTAGAAATAAAAATAATTCAATAATATTTGATGTCAAACGTACCTGGATTGTTTCTAAAACTTGTGAGTAGTAATCTTGACATAGTCCAAATTAATATCAAATTCATGCTATCATGCACCTTACCCTAGATAGTGTACGGCTGTTTTTTATAACTTTTTTCTTATTTTTTACAGCTGCATGGATTTTACAGAAGTTTCCAGAAAGCTACAAAGAAAAAGTAAGCAGTTTTAATATATTGCAACATAATGTATACCAGAATAATAGCTTATCCAAGTCATTTTTATAGATAGTAGATTACTATCATGCCAGTATTTTCAGCGTAGAAAGCTAACATGTGATGTAAGCATGCTCTCTTTGTTTTAATGGCTCTTATTACAAACCTTACTAGGTATTTTCAGCACAACAAAAATACTTGTCTTTATTTTTATTTTGTAATCTCTTCATCTCATCACTGCAAAACTAAATATGGGTGCCTGGCATGGTCTGGTGGTTAAGGTGCCTTGATTCACAATCTGTGTGTTACAGGTTCAAATTAATTTTGCTGAATATGCTTGCCCTTTCAGCTATAAAGGTTTTATAATGTGACTGTCAATCTTACAAATCATTGGTAGTCCAAGAGTAATTGTCATCCAAAAAGCCTAATTGTTTCATCAATATGTACAATTTGTTTAATATATTTCTTCCAACAGTTTATAGTTTCCTTTAGTGATAATGCAATAAACATAATTGTCGCTTGTAACACAGTGGTGTAATTACCTTGTCTAATTATGTATTTTCTCAATGTCTGGATAAATTTACAAAAGTAAAAAGAACTTTTGATGTAATTCTTGCTTACACAATCCAGTTTTTTGTTGCTGTATAAGTGATGTAAAGTATTTCATGGGGCTGACATGACCAGGTGGTTAGGGTGCTGTTTCAAATCCCTGTCCCACCAATTGCATTTGCCTTTTCAGCCATGGGAGCATTATAATGTGGTGGTTAATCCTACTATTCATTGGTAAAAAGAGTAGCCCAAGAGTTGGCAGTGGGAGGTGATGACTAGCTGCCTTCCCTCTAGTCTATCACTGCTAAATTAGGAATGGCCAGTGCAGATAGCCCTCATGTAGCTTTGCACGAAATTCAAAACAAACCAAACTAAATCAGGGCTGTCTTAATTTTTATTTATTACTGCCTCTAGCAAGTTAACCTTGCCCCTGTATGACCAGTAGAATTAAAGTCGGGTTGCTTGATAAGCAGCATCAATCAAAGCTGTTCCACTGCTCCCGGTGCTACTTCTAACAGCATCCATACAACTGAACACTTTCCAAGCATCATGGACAAATTATTTGGTATGTGAAGATCACATTGTTTCTATTCTCTACAGATTTTACATATCTGTCACGTATATTAATTTTTCATCAAATAGTACAATACTTACTAAAGAATTAGAATTTTCTTTTTGTATCCGTACAAGCAGATATCACGAACTGTTAAGTTTAATAATTTATTAAGAAAATTAGTTTTTATATTGTATATACTAGTAGCTGACATTCCTATTCAATGGGGGGGGGGGCAGATCTGAAAGCTAGCCTCCCATGTTTGGCACCAGTTTTTCTTGTGATAAGATTGATTTCAAGTTTTATGCAAGATTTAAACCCAGGACCTCTCAAACTAAAAATAAATGAATGCTCCATTAACCTACTAGCAATTGCTAGTAAACATTTTTATAAGAACTCTTCCTCATATACACAAACACATATACAAAATTGTCATATGAGTAAAGAAAATATTTTACATATGCTAGTATATTGATAAATGTTTTCAAACATGGTATGTTTGGAATGAAACAGGGAAAATATATAACACAGTATAAGAAGGTATTAATTTTTTTTTTTTTCTGTACAGCCTTAACAGGAAATAAGTTATGAGTTATTGACTTGATTTTGTCCTGAGAATGGGACTGAGTATAATTACATAATAGCAGTTATATATTAAGAGTTCCAAGTTTCTACAGTTATGGGGCTAATTTTACTGTTGTTTAAGGAGCTATTTATATCCAATTTTTTTATTATTATACAGGAAATCCTGAAGTCTGTGCCAAGTTTTGCGTATCCCTGTGAATTCAACAAGTATGGTAACATTGTTTTAATGTACACTTCTATATTATTTCTGTTTAAAACAAAGATTGAAAAATATAAATTAGGCTTAACTATGATTTAAAAGTCAATAATTAGTTGTTCTTTTTTTATTTTTATCAGTTATTCCTTCGGGGTAGAGCTGAGTAGTACTTGCTACTCAATTAATTGATGGGCTCATTAATTAATGACACTTGATAAGTACAGCTTTCCTGACAACATGGTACAAGTTTACTTGTTGGTCATCATTGAAGCACAAAATAATAATGAGGGTGTGCCAGCTTTTCAAAAGTTTGAGGATCATTTCATTATTCTAACATGACATTAATCTTCCAATTTTCACCTAGTTTTTTTTATCTAATTTTTGAACTACCCTTACTTTCCTATGATAGATATCTTCTGAGGTTATCTAATTTTCAGAGGTCACCATTTGCACATTCTGCAAAAGCATATTTTGGGCTCAAAAATTATTTTAACAAAATCTTTTAACATAATAAAGACAACCTGGACATTTCATACTTGTCAACTAGAGATGATCATGTAGATGTCACTTTGTTTGTTTTTAAAATGTTTAGTAATCTCCCATTGATCTTGTGTAAATCAAATATATTGATAATTAAATTATGAAGACATGTTTTAATAAAAGTAATGATGTTATTATTTAAAACATAATTCCAATTATAAATAATTAAGTAGCCAGCTTATTGGATAAACATAATTAATATGTGGCTTTGCTCTAAAAAAACAAAACATACTGTACTGCCCCTAATTAATGCCCTTGAGGGCCTTGCAAAGGAGTGGTGTGTTAATTATAGTATATGGTATAGTATGTGATTTGTTGATTTCAGTGCTAATAAGTGTGTGTATATGTGTTTTCTTCTTGTTTTTTCAAATCAAAGTTACAATAATAAAAGTGGATTATATGTTGGATTACTAATGCTGTCACACAAGGTAAGCTTTATAAAAATACTGTGTGTGGGGGGCATTAATTAGGGGCAATATGGTAATAAAAATCCCTCGTGTGTGCAAATATTGCATCTAAAAAATCATAGTGAGTTTATTTAAATCACTGTAATTTTAAACAAAAAAACAAACTTCAACAAGCTACATTTGCAAAGCCTTAAGCAATCTCCATTCATGGGACTTCTCTGTTTCATACTATATACATACTAGATGAATGCCTATCATAAGATGTTGCTCTAAATGTGATGAGTTAATAATTAAAAAATGTTATAAAAAATCTCCAACTGGGACTTGGCTATGAGACTAATGAGTGAGCCAGTTTGAACGTTACCAACAAAGTAAACATTACCAATAGAGAGTGGCTCTTATATAGATATATTCTTGTGTCTAGGTAAACTATTTGTATCTGATGATGATAAAACCTTCTCCAAACTTGTAAATTTGTTTGACGATAGTGAAACTGTCCAGTTTGATCATATTTTTAGCCTTTTATAGGATATAGGTCTTTTAATTTTACTTAAATGTTTTAGCATGGTTTTATGACAAAAAAATGAAGTCCTTTTTTGTTATTTTTGTTTTTCTTTTCTACTTTCTTTTATAGTTCAATTTATTTTGTTTACAACTTTAGTACCCAATGTTCAGTGTAGATAGCCCTGGTGCTTTGTGTCATAAAGCCCCAAACACCAGCAACATTTGTTATTGTGTTAAACTGCTAATGAAGTTTTCATTGTTACTCATTCATCACATCTGTAATCTGTATAAGCTTACTTTATTTCAACTTATCTGATGTCTTTGCATTGAAGAATATTCCTGGAGCTTTCAAACATATAATTTAATCCACAAATACTTCTACAATTCACAGCAAAAGTTTTACAGAAAGTATAAAATACTCTTTTTACCTCTCTATATTTACTCTATTTTGATGTGATTGATAGTTTTCTGTTGATTTCTTCCCACAAGTTTCCACAACCCTACAAAACTACTGAAGTATTGTTGATGAAAATAAAAATTGTTTCTTTACATTGTTTATAAATCAGAAAAATACTAAACATGACAGTAACTGGTGATATTACTAGTAGGTACAAGTTAACTTAAGTTACATATGCTTAGTTCTTAGGATCAAGTTTACTATTTTATACGAACACAACTAAATTAAAGCATGTGGATACTTTGGGTGTACCTTCACTGTACAAAAAGGAGAATAAACTTAATACCACATGCTACTTGTTAGAAGTAGAGAAGAGTAAGATTATCTATAGAATTAGTCATTATTTTGTGCACAAGTGAGCCAAAAAATATTATTTTGAATTGGTAAAATGCCAATTCCACACATCCCTGCCCTTAATATATGCTTATTTGTCACTGTACATTATAAATGGTATATGAAGGCAGTCGCAGCCTATATAAATGTAATTGATCATTGGAGTATGTATCTATAATATTATTCTATAGCATATATGATATTAAGTACAATCTAGAACCAAATTTATATGTTACATTTTTGTTATGTTTCCTGAACAGAGTGAGTACTTACAAATTTTAATGCTATATTAGTATATTTGTTTTTGGTTACTGAAAACTGACTTGTATATTTATACATAGTTTAAAGACTGGCATGGATAAAGAATACTTTTTTTAGGCATCATTTGCCCTGTGATCAGAATGTGCCAATGTAGGTCAGAACTTACAAATTTATGAAAGTATGAGGTTTGATGTTGCAAATATAATGCATACCAATGTAGAAAAAGTAAATTTATAGTTTAGTTAACACTAATAAAGAAAGCTGTTCAAATTATAAAGTGCAATGTAAAATCAGGGGTAGATCCAGGATCTCTTAAAGGGGAAAATCCAACTAAATCTTTACTAGCACTACTTGTAAATTTATATTGTTGTCATTGTTTACTATGCCTATAACTTTACACTGCTAGTAACTTTAGTAATAAAATTAATTAGAAAGCCTACAAAAATCTCTGGTTATCTGAGTCAGGTTATAATCCAGCAATTTCAAAGCTTATATTGTTATTTCTAGTAATGTGATTAATGTTAAAGTGAAAATAGTTGAACGCTAACATTTCAAATCTTTTAGTTAAAATTAAATATTTATAATTATTTGTAAAAAAATAGAAATTGTATAAAAATGTATTATTTACACAGTCATACCACTTGCATTTTTGTTTAGTTTGGACATCAACAATATGAAAAACATCTTTCTCGTAACAGTTTTAACTTCTAAACAATGAAACATCGAGTCTGTAATAAGCCTATAAGAGCTCCAAGTTCCAAAACAATACTAACTTTGTTTAAATAAGTCTAAAGTCTACACATATTGTTATTGTCTGGAAAAAGCCAAAGTCCAAACATTTACCATGGCAACATATAATTGATGTTCATGTTGTTGTACTAGCTTATAAGTAATCAATTATTGGCTGATGGTGTTACCAGATTGCTTTAGACTCCAGCTATGTTGATTTTAATAAAACTTAAAAAAACTCTTCAGTTAATCAGTTGGCCATTTAAATAAAAACACTGACATCTAATAATTCTTTTTTTTTATATACTGAGGGGACAGAGCACAGATAGCCTATTAAGTACCTTTGTGTTTAACAACAATCAAACATAATGGCAGTATTTCTATTATTTGAATAGTTAGAATAATCAAAATAATAATAATTGGAACCATAATTTTTATTAGTTGATTAATTTTGTGACAGTCAGTTTAATCGTAATTTCAATTGACTATTTCTTGGAGTAATCAAAAACTAATTTCAATATGTTGATTATAGTTGCTGCTCATAGGTAATCATTTAAGTCACCCAGCTCTACTTTAGGGTTTTTGTTTGTGTGTGTTTATGCTCTGTTTTATGTACAAGCTTAGAGTTATAGCTCATCAAACTGTAAGTCTCTTTTTTTTTCATGTTGTACAAAATGTTGAAGTCTTAAGAGTTATTTGTATCAAGGTAAAATATTAAACAATTATTGTTGGATTTTTTTGTTGATGATGATGTACTAAAATTGTATAGCATCACCATAACATGAGAAAGCTCTGGTGTTGGAAGTAAAGTTTGAATAGTTTTCAATGGAAATTTAATCGCTAGTCGTCACTTTTCTGACATTTTCCTTACTTTGTTCTGTGGGCAAACCCTAGAAAAAAACAAACAAACAAGCATTAGAGTAAAAAATGCAACTAAATTGTAAAATATATGTATAAAGGAAATAATTTAACATAGAAAGGTAAACAAAATTGTTATTATTGTTATCATAAGCTTCAGAATTATTATAGAAACTTTCTTTTCATTTTAGTATTCCTCATATTGATATCTTATGTTCAATTTACATATGTTTTCAATCATTATGCACACACCAGTCAGATAGTATCTTTTTTTCACTATGAGAAATTGCAAGCAATATTAATATAAATGTTTTATTTATAGTTAGGGTAATAAGTACGGATAATGTGTTTTCATCACTTATTGGCAAAATAATTGTTTTTTTCCAGCAATACTGTTCAACATTTTTCTTTTGTCCTGACAAATATCGATAGTAAGTGGACATTTGGCTTTTGTCGCCACACCCCTAATTCTCCTACATGTCATGTTTTATTGAGGTAAGAGCACTCCTTCAAGAGGTGTAAAAATTCATTTTGAAGCTCAATATATGATAGTTTATTATTTTTATGATAATATGTGAGTGCAAGTCAGTTTTTTTTAATATATACGCTTCTGTAGAAAGAAACTGCTGTATGGATCTTAGCAGCATCACTCATCATTTGTTGCAACTGTAACTGACCTGTAATTTTAGTTTTTGCTACAGGTTAACAGGTTATTGAAATCTCAGTTGATTAGAAAACTAATATGACTTGAGGGACCACTTGATTATTGTCATTTATACTCTCAAATAAACAAATTTAATACATAGCCACTTCACACATAGTAGCTTTACTCGACTTGTGTTGCCCTCTATATGCACAATTTTTGCTTGTCATTAGCCTTAATGTTCCCACCTACCCTCACGTACTTTCTCTTGGTACAGTTTTGCTGTAGCATACAAAAACCTTCCACCAACAGGAGTGCAACACACCCTCTTAGTGCAGCTGACTCCCTCTGTAATGTAGAGTTGCGCTCAATTTTTGCTCTGTACTTACAATTCTCGTTTACACTTTCAGTTAATTCTAATGTGTTCTGACAACTGTTAGTTTGTTATAATTTATATGCTGCTTCTTTGTTACTTGTGGAATATTTATCTCTTTCATTTCCACATAATGTTACTACAGTGCCTTCTGTTATGGATCTGGCTAATAGTGATCCACCACCACTTACTACATCTGTGGCTGTGCCTTTGCTGTACAGTTGTTCTACCCCTCTGGATTTCCCTTGTCCTCCTTTGGTTTTTTTGGACATATTTTCCCAGGTATGTTAACTGTTATCTCCCTTCCACCTCCTTTTCAAGGCTATCCACTGTTCCTCTGAGGAATTTTCAGAGATACACACACCTTTCTCTTTTCCACATTGGTGTGCTTATCTTCCTCAGCCCCTTCACCCAAGACTCCATAATATCAGGAAGATCCTCCAAAATAAACTGTCATAAAAAAAAAGGGGCCAGACAGAGGTCTCACAAATAGGAAGCAGGTAGATGTATGTGAAACAAGATGATGCTCTTGCCAAGGAGATCCCAACAACAACAAAGTAGCCATGTATGAAAGGGATAAAACCCATGGGACAGTCCCTATCAAAACTGGCATTGGAAAACACAATGATAGGCAATTTGGTAACTCACCTCAGAAACCCAGGAAGGTGGCACCAGTAGTGGAGAGGATGCAGGGGTAGAAGAGGTTTGAGAAAGATGAGAAAAAAGGAAAGAAAGGGAGGAATGTTGATGTTCAGAAACATGTACAACCGGGAATAAAACCCTGGAGAAGTGTAAAATACTTGTTTGATAGTGTCTGCATGCAAAAGATTGTGATTTGCCTCTGAGACAAGATAGTATGAAATGGGATCCTGAGGGGGGGGAAGAGTTGGGTCATGGAGATAAAAGGGGCAAAGAATTAAAGGAATAATCTTTATGTTAGAACCTGAAGAACCTGTTAGAACCTGAATGGGCACCACAGGTGAACAAATTTGGCCAACTGTGCTCCCACAGTGTCACCCCAAGAAAACTGGGGATTGGCATCCAGTCAATGATCTCTCCAAACTCAACCGCTTCATCATCCTTGCATGGTTCACCATGGATGATCAAGGCCGACATCTCAGATGCTTACCTTCATATCCCTATCTCCTGCATCCAGATGTTAGCTTCAGTTTCTTCATGGGGGTCAAGTGTTTCAGTTGTATGGTCAGAGCCTTTGACCACCATCTGCACACTCAGGGGTTGTGGTTCTATCATTATGTAAATGACTGGCTCCTTTTAACTCTGTCCCAACAAGCCTCTCACCTACATACCTATTTGCTCCTACAGGAGGCAGCTTATGTGGGATTGCTTGTTAAGTGGAGAAGTCCCATCTTATCCCCACATAGTATTTTATCCATTAGGGGTATTTTTAAACACCTACTTCAGCATGTCCCAGCCTTCTCCATTTTGTTTGAGCACAAGTTGAGAAAAGCTATTATGTGAGAGGAGGTAAGTATCTATCGGAAATATATTTTTAGTATAGGAAAATGTTAACATTATGAAAATCTTTTCAACAGATATCACGCTTTTTGTTCTTTTGTTGGTTTTTTTGAAAGATGTCATCTGCTTGGTGGTGCTAAATCTGGAAAGACAGTTTGAAAACAAAAATCCAAGAACATTATATCTGTTATATTTCTTGCCATTTTTGTCATAATTCAAAGCTCAGAATAACAGTAATATATTTATCTGTTATTATTTCTCAAACAACACCAGATGATTGAATTCATTAATATTTTGATTTTGAAATCTTAAAAATATTTACATATTTTATATGTTTACACATTTTATAAATACATATTCATTTTACAAAAAGTATAGTTTTGGAATTATTGTGTATTTATAGATTTGTTGTGATTCTAGATATTGAATTATGTAATTTCCATAAGATTACAAAATGTTGTAATTATACAAATTTTAAGTGTAAATTATAGGCTCAACATGAGCTTGGTCAATTTGACTGACCTTGTAACCACCAAAACAAAAATCAAAATAAACTTAAATTACCCTTTTTTTTCTTTCTAAAATGACTTCAAATTGTAACATGAAACTACATTCGTTTATCCTAAGTAGCTTTAAGTTCGTAACAGTATACATCTACTTATAATTAAATTTTATTGTTTTATTACCCTTTGAACCATATCTAATTACTATCTGTGCCGTTATAAGTTGTAAATCACTCGGGGAACGTGCAGCTGATATTACGCTATCGAATTACATTACCCACAAGCTGCTCGCATGTATGACTTGTGAACCATTTTAATTATATTATTATTATTACTTATTTTACCTAAGCTTGTCTTAAGTAACTTAAAAAGATCTGTATTGTTAGATTTTAGTTACTTTTGTAATAATAAATATGAAAAACAAGAAATAAAGTACTTACCCAATCTTATTTTTTCTTGCTCTTGGGTTTTCGAAGAGAGTTAACCCTAATTTTTTATATTATAGATAATAATGCACTTAATAATTTTTATTTAATTAAATAATGCACCAAAAAATATAGACTAATAACATGGAAAAAGTAGACAAAATCACTTACCTCTCAAATTTTTCCTGGCTTTCTAACTATGCGGCAATAGCCCTTACAAGTTCATCCAAGCTAGTCGTTAACTTTCCCATGGGAATGAATCTGGTACTGTGAGTGAAATTGATGATATTCTGCTCCAAAGACAACGTTATACAATACATAATTTGATTGATGAAAAACATGACTTTTTATTGGTTATAGGTAGTATATAATGAAACATAAGAGAGAACTGTCAACGAATTGTGAAAGAGAGGATGTGACAGGAGGGGTCTGATTTTCTATTTGATTGAATATGATCTCTTATCCAGCTTTTTAAGTCTTCTTTTTTTTATCCTTAATGGTAAGGTAATAAAATGTTTTAATGTTATAGTTGATAGTTTTTATTGTTAAATTAACAACAGTAATAATCTCATCTTTCTCCTTTCTTAGTTGTTTTTGGTTTTGTCTTATACAGCCATTAGTTTTTGGTTTTGTCTTATACAGCCATTAGTTT